ATTGCAGGGATTAGATCCTGCTCCTGGCCCACTTCTGCTCAGACAATATCCAACCCAGGGCTGCTTCATTAATTGAAGCCAATTCATTAATTGAAGTTGCTTTGTTAATAAAACACTTGTGACCATCTGACTCAGGGACATTCATAGGATGTGGGGACAGTCAGGCAGGAAAACAGGAAAATCTCTGATTGTTTAGAGGCAGCTCATCCCTTCCTTTTCTGTTGTCTTCTCCGGAATGAGGACTTGTGCTGTCCAGTGAAGGAAATAAATGACCCCCAGCAGCTGCGAGTGCTGATCCTCGAAATCCGCGGAACCCACTTAAATGAATAATAATTAAAGAAATAAATTTCCCCAAGTGCAGCCTCAAAACTTTCGGTTCAGCAATAAAGCCAAGGAGAGACTCGGAAAATGAATCGCTCGGCTCTTTCCGAAGGAGGCTGCGGTGGGAGAGGTGGGATGATAATGGAAACTATTAAAGGAGCCAGTGTGGTTTAAGGAAGCCTTTTCCAGGTCGTGTGGGAACAGGCTGAGGAGAGGTTGTGCGGTGATGCTGACACCTGAGGGATAAAAGGATTGAGCAATCCCAAAATCATGGAATTAAGGGGGAAGGAGCCAAGGGATTGAGGAATCCCAAAACTAAGGGATTGAGCTCAAAAGGGACTAAGGATATAAGAAACTGAGTAATCCCAGAGAAAAGGCACTAAGATTCAAGGGGCCATGGAATTGAGCTCAAAAGGGATAAGAGATTGAGGAATCCCAAACCCAAGGAATTGTACTCAATGAGCCAAAGGACTGAGCTCAAGAGGGATAAGGGACTGAACAATTCAAAACCATGGGATTGGTGAGCAAAAAATGGGATGACCCTGCTGTGTTCATCCCCAATTTGGAGCACTGGCCATCAGAGCTGACCACCTGCCTGTTGTTGCTTGGGCAAACCCCTGGTTGGTTCCCTCTGTGTGTAAGATTTCCATAAATTTTCCTTTACTTGGGATGGTGGAAGTAGATGGGAAGCAATGGGCTTGAGACTCAACACTCATCATTCTAACAATGTTCCCACCCTCTTGCCCATCCCTTGGCCCTACCACACCCCAGCTCTGAATTTCTTCCTTTTTTTCTGCCTATTTCAGTTTTGTACTGATTTTTTTCCCTCTGTGGGGAAGATTTCCACAAGTTATCCTTGATTTGGGATTGTGGAAATAGATGGGACGCAATGGGCTTAATACTCAATACTCATCATTCTAACAGTGTTCTCACCTTCTTACCCATCACCCCTTGGTCCCAGCTCACCCTAACTCTGGATTTCTCCCTTTTCTGGATTTCTCCTTTTTTTTTTTTCAGTTTTTTACAGCTTTTCCACCATTTAAAAAAAGTAAATTATTGGATAAGATGCTCCAAAAGACCTTTCCATGAGATGAGGTCCTGATCCTTGAGCTGCACCTCGGAGCAATAAAGTCCTTCCTAAATAATTAAGCAGGTGATAATTAACTGTGATATTTGCAGCCAGTTTTTAACTCAAAGGAATATTTGGAATATTGTTTTTGGGGCGTGTTTTTTGCATCCCAAGCTCCTGGGTGATGGGGAGCTGAGCAGGAGTGTTGGGTTGGATGGGAGCATCCTGATACCCATGTGGGAATGCTGGAAAGCACCGAGTGTTGCTCCTGAGTGCAGTTCCTGGGCTGCCAAGGAAATCTCTGCCAACCTTTCCCTGGAGGAGAAGGACCTTGAGTCTTGAGCTGTGTTTTGGGGTTATGGAAAAAAAAACACCCAGGATGCTGGAGATGGACCTGGATCTGCTTGAGCTGAGTTTTAGGATTAAGGATATGAAAAGGTCCTAATAAACCTATAGTTGGTGCAGGGGTGCAGCATCCAACCCGCTCGTTTTAAACATTTTTTTTTCTTTGACAAGGATAAATTGTGCCTTTTCCCCCTTTTCCGTCAAAAGCTGGAATTCCAAACATCAAGCCAAACGCTGCGGAAAACACCGCGGGACTGCTTGGCTGTGGATTCCTTCCTAGGAGCAGGGGAAAAAAAAAAAAAGAAAAAAAAAAAAAGGAGTTAGGCTGTAGCCCCCGCTATTAATCATAGCTGTAATCATGCATTTAATGAACATGACAGCTCCCGCTCCCTCCGGAGAGACGCGCCGAGTCTCCCGGCTGGATTGGGAACAACAATCACTTCTCACCGCGAGCCACCGGAGCCGCCAGCGTCGGGCTGGGATGATGCATTAAGAGGAACAGCCCTGTTTGCACGGGCTGTGGGTTTCCTTACGGATGATGCTCTTGCAAGCGACTGAATCATCAGAAAAGGGGGAGAGAAATTCACCTGTCCCTTCCACTGGGTGGAAAATATCCCGGCTGACTCCGCTGTGCTAGGTGTAATCACTTCAAAAGCCCTCAGTGTGCAGCTCTTGATGCTCTCTGTGGCAGCTTTTCTTACTTTCTTGTTTTTTTCCCCCCTCTCTGTTCTGTTCCCACTGCCTTGGAGCATACACATGGAAAGAATTTACCATGGCACCACTTTAAATTTCCATAGTGAAGGACTTGGGCAATGCCAAGGATGTGGGAGTCACTTTCCTGATCCGACAGCACTGCTGTGTCCCAACGTTCTCCCCGGCTGGGAAGTGATTGAGGAGAAAAACGGGACAGATCTGGTACTGGGATGTGCCCAGTGTTTTGTCTGGACCAAATGAGACTCCCAAAGTCAAGCCCTGGGGGCATCATTTCAGCTTTTTGTTTAATTTAGGCCAGACTGCAGCAAATTTTGGCTCCTGATGTTGGAATTTAACCCTTATCCCATTTTTCAGTGTCTTTTGATGTCCCAGTTTCACCCCAGTTTCAATAATACACTCTCCAATGCCAGGAATATTTATTCATTAATGTATTTACTAACACAAATCTCTTGTCATGACCAGTTGGGAATTCCGAGTTGAAAACTACCCTAAAAATCCAAATTTAGGCTCCTTGGACCTCCTGAAAAGTCAGGAACATCCAATCCCCTCTCCTGCACCCCCTTCTTGTTACTTGTATGTACACAAAGCTTTTATTTTTATTTAAACTTTTTTTCCACGATGCAGCAGCTTCAAAAAATATCCTCATGACAGAGCCTGAGTTTTCTCTGTAAATCCCAATGGATGGGGAAATGTTTAATTACAGAGCTTTCTTGGCTTGGCTCCTCCTGGAGAAATATTTGGGCGATTTTCTAATAGTTTGGGGAGGATTTGCACACGGGATGAATAATTAGGGAATGGGAAAATGTGGATGGGGATTTTATTTGCCAGCTTCCAGGTGCTTTGCCAGACCTGGATGGATTTCACATGGATTTTGTCATGGATGGGACAAGCTCTTGGGTAGTTAAACTCCCTCTGGGATGCAAGTTAATTCCTGGAATGGGAGATGCACATCACGTTATTGCATGGCTTCTTGCTGGCAAAAGAAAACTGAGGGAAAAAAGCCCAATAAAATAATTCCATTGATGTATTTTTGCTGCATAAAAATTCCAGCCCACGGGCAGGAGGCTGTTGAGCCTTTTATTTATCCTCTATCTCTTTAGTGATTCCTCCTTTCTGGACAAGATGACCTTTAAGGGCCCTTCCAGCTCTAACCATTCCATGATTCTGTGATTCCAAACTTGTTCTTCCCTGTGTATCTGCTTTTATCCCCAAATATTAAATATTTAGAAGGACTGTGTGCTGCCTTCAGGAGCTGATTCCTGGTGTAGGTTTAAGGAATATTAAACACAATTCCAGAGGGCTGAGGATGCTCCAGCCCTATCCTAATGGATTTTCATTTGGGGCTTTCTCCCCACATTGTTTGGGAAGTCAACCTTGCCCTTTATGGAGGTTCTTCAGTAGAGTCTTTGGAGCATCCCAGAGTTGGCAAATGTTTATTCTAGCACAAAAAAAAAAAAGATGCTCCTACAGCTTGGGATGAGAAGGAATTTTAAAAAAACAGGGGAAAAAAACCATCTCAGTGGTGGCTCAAACGCCCCGTTGATGGAATTTGATGTGCAGAGGGAACAGATGGGGCTTTGCCGACGCCGGCAGCCGAGTGACAGCTCGCGGTGCCGCGCAATCAAATTCCACTCGCTCAACTTCCCAACACGCCCGGGCTGGCAGGTGAGTGTCTGAGCCGCTCTCATCCCACCTGGAAGACTCAAATCCAGCCTTTCTTTCCCATTCATTCTTCCCTGCACCAGTCAAGGATGATTTAATTCCATGCGTGCATGGATGGGAGCGGGCGCTGGGCTTCCCTGTCCAGCTGCGGGGAGCGGCCAAGCCAAGCGTGGAAATTTGTTGGATTGATGGTGGAAGCGTGGGATTTGCTTGGAGAAGTGTTCTGGCATGTTTGGGTGCTGAGGGGAAAAATTCCTGCTGTGTTTGGGGCTGGGCAAGGAGCACTTCTGCTGGGGCTGCTCCAGAAGTGGGAAGTCCCTGAAGGGCATCTTTGTCCTTTGGTTCTCTGGGAGCTCCGTGCTTTGGGTTAAATAAGATCATGGAATGGTTTGGGTTGGAAAGGAGCTTGAAGATCGTCCAGTTCCATCCCTCTGCAAGGGCCAGGGACACCTTCCACTATTCCAGGTTGCTCTAAGCCCTGTCCAGCTTGGCCTTGGACACTTCCAGGGATGCAGCATCCATAGTTCCGCTGGGCAATTTGTGCCAGGGCCTCCCCACTCTCCCAGGGAAGGATTTCTTCCCCATATCCCATCTCTCCCTGCCCTCTGGCAGTGGGAAGCCATTCCCTCTGTTTTGCCACTCGAGGTTCTTGTCCAAAGTTCCTTTCCAGCTCTCCTGGAGCCCCTTTAGGCATTAGAGGAGGCTCCAAGTTCTCCCTGGAGCCTTTTCTTTTTCAGGCCAAATAACCCCAGATTTCCCAGCTTTTCCTCACTGCAAAGGGTCTCCATCCCTCCAATCATTTTTGTGGACCTGAGGTACTTAGGGCTGTGTGAATTCCTGTGAAATTTCTCTATTCCAAGCAGTGATCCATGTTTTTCTCTCTCTCCAGCACTGAGATTGCACTCCACACCCAGTCCTGGGGTCTTTACACCCAGCCTGAGCAGATCCTCAACGTGCCGATACATCGCCAGGTCTGTACTCACGGGAAGCAGGAATGAAGCAGGAATGACGTGCTGCATCTTTGGAATTATGCTCATGAGGGAATCAGGAGCTTAAGGAGCAGCTGTTGAACTGGAGGATAATTTGGTGAAGCTCAGACTTCTGCTTTTCCGCAGCTTCTGCTTCGAGGTGGTTTTAAGCTCAGCCAGAGCCTCCACACCCTCACAGGGAAGAATTTCTTCCAAATATCCCATCTGTCCCTGCTCTCTGGCAATGGGAAACCATTCCCCCTTTTCCTGGGACTCCATCCCTTGTCCAAAGTCCCTCTCCAGCTCTCCTGGAGCCCCTTTAGGCACTGGAAAGGGCTCCAAGGTTTGCCTGGACAGCCAGGCTGGACATTCCCAGCTTTCCCAGCCTGGCTCCAGAGCAGAGGGGCTTCAGCCACTGGAACATCTCCAGGGCCTCCTCTGGATCTGCTCCAGCAGCTCCACATCCCTCTACTGTTGGACCCCAGAGCTGGAGGCAGCTCTGCAGGTGGGATCTCACCTGAGTGGGGCTGAAGGGCAGAAATTCCCCATCTCCTCCTGCCTACACTGTGGGAAGAGCCTGGGACATTCTGGGCTCCCATGGCTGGATCATGTGGAGCTTCTCATCCACCAACTGCCCTGAGTCCTTCTCCTCAAGGCTGCTCTCAATCTATTCCCCAGCCAGCCTGGATTTGTGCTTGGGATTACCCACTACACATCCAGGACCTTACACTTGGCCTTGCACCTCCTTTTAATCCAGGAGCTGCAGACAACCAACAATTACAGAGGTTAAAATGTGCATTTCCTCTGAAAATAATTTCCTTGAACCTGTGTTTTTCATGGATAATGCACTGCATCCTCATCAAACTGGATCTGACTGTGCCCTACCACTGAATTATCCACTTGGAGAGATCTGATGTGCCCCCCATGATTTGTCTTCACCTGGATCTCAACACTTCCCCTCTCCCACCTGGTCCCACTCATCCCAAGAGCTGCTGAGTAATTCCCTTTCCAGCTGGAAGCTCATGGAAAACATGTGCTTAGCAACTTCTGAGCTCCTTAAGTAGCTTCTAGTGGGACCAGGCAATTAAAAAGGAGCTTTTCTGCTCATTGGTGGTACTTTTTGTTCCTGTGACCATCACGGAGGTGCTCATTCTTTGAGGTTCATGAGCAGGTGCCCACTTGGAGGCCATGAATACCATCAGGCCAGATGATGGGACATGTGCTGAAGAGCCCTCCATGTCATTCAGCCTTGGCATCCTGTGCTGCACAAGGAGAGGATGTTTCCTTCCTCACCATATTCCCCAAAAATATGGGAAACCCTCTCCATGCTCATAAATCTGAGGAGAGAATCAGAGTTATGGGAGTGGGAAGGGATCTTACTGGTGACTTTGGTGTAACCTTGCAGATATTTAATGATTTGGGGTAAAGTCAACCAAAAATTGAAAATATTTAAGGACTTATGAGCATGAACTTCCTAAATTTCACTCTGCAAAGATGGGCTCCTCTGTGGTTTCAGGTATTGTTGAGGTGTCTTCTCCATGCCATTGTGGTGTTGGAGCTGGAGGTTCTCCCTGACCTTGTCCCTCTTTCTCCTTCAGCCGTGCTGTGCAGAGGAGCTTGGCCATCATCCGTCAAGCCAAGCAGAAGAAGAAAAAGAAGGAATATTGTATGTACTACAACCGCTTTGGGAAGTGCAATCGGGGTGACAGCTGCCCCTACATCCATGATCCAGAGAAGGTGGCCGTCTGCACCAGGTAGGGATGGACACGGAATTGTGGTGAACTGGGACATTGGGTGGCTTGGGTGCTTTCTTGTGGGGTATTGCTAAGGGAAACAAACTGATAACAGAGCTGTAGAACAACAGGAATGGGAGTTCTGGGTCAGGTGTAGGTTCTGCACTGTTGGGTTGGAAGGAGGAGGATGAGAAGAGGCCAGAGAATCATGGAATTGTTTTGGTTAGAAGGGGCATCAAGGATCATTGAATTCCAAACCCCTGACATGGGCAGGGACGCCTTCCACTGTCCCAGGTTGCTCCAAGTCCTGTCCAGCCTGGCCTGGAACACTTTCAAGGATGGGGCAGCCACAGTTTCTCTGGGAATTCCATTCCAGGGCCTCACCAGCCTCACAGGGAAAAGTATCTTCCTAATATCCTATCTGTCCCTCTGGCAGTGGGAAGCCATTCTCTTTGTCCTGTCCCTCCATCCCTTGTCCAAAGTCTCTCTTTGGCTCTCTTGGAGCCCGTTTAGGCACTGGAAGGGGCTCTAAAGTCCCTTTAGAACCTTTTTTTTCTGGGCTGGGTGACTTTAGCCCCTGCCCTGACCACACTCCAGGTTATTCCTTCGGGAGCATTCCTCAGATCCATTTAGATCAGTCCAGCAGATTTGAATCCCTCAGCCTGTGACGTTGTGCAGCTCCGAGACTTGGTGATTTATTCCAGGAGAACTGATCTGTGTTGGCAGTTCATTAGACCTGCCCAAGAGTTGATTAAACTCTATTATGAGTCATTTAAAAAGTGCAGAAGAGCCAACTCCACTGATGAACTCCTGGAGTAATTTTTCCATAAAATTGCTGCTGTACTGGAATCACTTGGAAGTTGCTCAAAGCTCAGTGGAAGACGATAGAGGAGGGGAATGTGATTTATTGGTTTTTTAACTGATTTTACTCCTTCTCACTCATGCTCCCATAACAAATCCCATAACTCCTTGCCTACTTTAGGAATTGTGCTCCTTGAAGTCTTTTGGGTCTCCAACCTGTCTCATTTCCATCAATCATTGGAGAACAGCACTGATTTCTCCCAGTTTTGTGTCTCCTCATCCTTGTTCATTTATCTCTAATTCTATTCTTTAGCTTTCCCTTATAATTTTATAATTTTGTTAATCTGGTCTCAGAGTGGTCAATCCTAGGAAAACTCTTGACATCCTCATGTGCTCTGGCATTTTGGTTCCTGTTCTGGGCCTGTCTTTGCTCCTCCTGATCATTGGCCACTCCCACCTGGAGCTTCATCCAGCATCTCTTGGAATGGGATCATAGAACCCTGGAATGGTTTGGATTGGAAAGGACCTTCAAGATCATCCAATCCACCCCCCTGCCATGGGCAAGGACACCTTCCACTATCCCAAGTTGCTCCAAGCCTTGTCCAGCCTGAGCTTGAACACTTCCAGGGATGGGGAATCCACAGCTTTTCTTGGCAACTTAGAATAATCAGGGCTCTACAAAGGACCTTTCTCCTTCTGGGAGCATCATGTCTGAATTTTGGGATACAAGCCTTGCTCTAGCTACTAATGAGGCAGCCAAATGTGATGAAAGAACAAAATCTAGCAGGAATCATCATCTGCTCTTCTGACAAGGGGGATCTGTACTAATTTAGGGTGTGAAATGGGTTTATGGATGAGCTCAGCAGCAATTGTGTGGTTTTTTGTGACCCACCTCGTGTCCAACCTGCTCCATCTGCTTTATCTCCAGGTTTCTCCGTGGCACGTGCAAGAAGACGGATGGGACCTGTCCATTTTCCCACAAGGTGTCCAAGGACAAGGTCTGTGTGACTTCCCAATGGGAATATGGCTCTGTGTGCAAAGGGGTGGTTGTAGGAAGGTTCTTCCTTACTGAGTGCTTCCATCTGAGTTTGGAGTTTCCTTGCTGAGCTCTCCAGGCTCCTGAATCATGACAGAGGGATGGTGGAATGGTTTGGGATGGATGGGACCTTCAGGATCATCTCATTCCTACCCCTCTGCCATGGGCAGGGGCACCTTCCACTATCCTAGGTTGCTCCAAGCCCTGTCCAACCTGGCCTTGAATTTTTCCAGGGATGGGGCATCCACAGCTTCTCTGGGAAACCTGTGCCAGGGCCTCACCACCCTATGGTTGAGGTCTAAAAAAGACCTATGAGGTCTTAGAGATCTAAAAAAGACCTCCAAGATCATCAAGTCTATTTAGATGCGTCTAATTCTTCCCTACTTCCTTAAGATCACATTTCCCTGGAAATCCCTCTGTACTGGGGTTGGAGGATGTTTTAACAAACATAACTTGGAGGTATAAATTAATAAACATCAATTCTAAAATGCCTATCAGCAAAATCAGGTTGAAACCATGGCAAAATAATTCTGGAGTTCATTGTTTTCCACCTTCTTGATGTATCTGGAGCTCTGTGGTTTTATTACACAAGGTGGAAAAATAATCCAGAGTTTTTATTTTGGGTTTATCGGTGATGATTTAGCACCTCAGCCTGTATTTAGTGGCTGGGATCTCTACTTGGATGTAGCTTTGGAGACTCCAGCACGGAAGCTGAGGTGCCTGAGGCACGTTCCTTGTCCATGGGGAGCTCATAAGTTATCTGGGAAGTCGCTCCCAGTGAGACACGGAGCACCAGATGTTTTTTACATGGATTTCTCTTCAGAGTCACTTAATCACGAGTACATAAAACAGGAATGGGGACAGCTGCATTCCCTGGCTCGTGGCACGTCAGAGTAGGAATGGGGATGAGGATTGATAGATGGAAAAAAAGTTTGGGTTTTTTTTTTTTTCATCCTGTAACAGCGTCATGCTTCAGAAATAAAGAAGCTAAGAACGAAGGAAGCTTTACAGGTGGATTGGCTGTTGGTTTATCCAAAATTATTGTAATTAGCACTGCCAGCTACTTCTTGTCATCCAAGTGAATGAAGTGTAACCCTGTGTCTGCATCCCTGAGGTGAAGGATTGAAATTCATCCACAGAACCATGAACACCAAATTAAATGGAATTTCAGGAGATGGTGAAATCTTTTTTGGACCTAGGGCAAAAAAATCTAGATGAAACTTGGGAATTGGACATGCCCCAGGAGCTGTTGCAGTTGGTGGTTTATCCACCAAAGAATGTGATGGTTGGATGTGGATGAATTTGTGGTCTCTCTACCCAGGAATATTCATCGACATGTTTAAATTCCTGATGGAAATGTGGCCTCAGTTTCCCCTCTAGGAACACTTGGTCCCTCAAGGAGGACCTCTAGATTTGGCTTCTGGGCTCTGTTGTGGGTGAATAAATGGAGAATGAGGGAAAACTCCCTCCACCTCTCCAGTTTGAGAAGAATAACAGTGATATTGTGGTAATAAAACTGAATTGAAAAGGAATGACCATAGGAGCTGTTTGCCAATAGCATTTTGGGGACAGAATCCATGGGATGCAGTGACCTCACCTTTATCCTGAGCTACTGAAGCATCACCTAACCTCAAGATGAATCATTAATTAACAAACCAAAATCATAGCAGGCAGTACCAGCTCTGAAAAGCTTTCGGAGCACATTTTTCCTGCCATGCTCTGTTGGGAAGGGGAATTATTTTTCACAGGATTAACCAACCTGAGGGTGGTTCAAAGGTCTCCCTGTTTGCCACCTTGTCATCAGCAAGGACTGGAAGAGAAACAACCTCCTCCATGGAGTTCAAACTTGTTCCAGAGTGATTTATTGCCATGGGAATGCTGCTTCCTAAAGCGGGAAGCAACTTCACTTTCCAAGTCCTGGAGCTCCCCATTAACCTGAGTGGTTCTTGGCAAAGGTGGCATTTCCCTCATTTATCAGAGCTGGGAAAAGCAGGTGGAGGCACTCAGCAGAGGAAGGAAGCAGTTTTCCTCTTGCTTGTGGAGTTTTTGGAGTAAATCCCATCTTTTCCTCAGGTGAAGGATTGTGCCTCGTTGGTTTTTGTCTGTTTCAGTTGAGGTTTTAGTGCAATCCCTGTTTTTTTTTTTCCATGTGGTTTGGGAATTCCTGATTTCGTTGGTCCCGTCAATTTCACTGTGTGGTTATTGGAGAGGGACACCCCAAAACCTCCTGATCAGAGAAAGTTCAGGTTGTTGTGTGTCTCAGCTCAGTGGGATTTCAGTGGGATGGGATATCCAGTCCAGGAGGTGAAGGATCAAAGGCTGGCAGGGCTTGGCTCTTGGTTTTAGGACAAAACTGTTTCTCAGCCTTTGTGCACTCCCATGCCTTAGCTTCCTCACTGAAAAATGGGAATAATCACTATGTTCTATGGGAAAAATTACTGTTTTCTATGGAAAACTGCATGGATTCAGCTGTCACAGCAGCAGGGAACTTCTCTCCATCCTAGAGTAGCAAACTCCTTGCTCCAAGCAGGGAACGGTCTCCAGGATGGAGGATGGCTCCATATTGTCCCTGAGCTTTGCAGATCCAAACTCCAGTGCTTTCCATCACCCTCTGGTAATGGAAGAAAGAGCCTGGGGAAGAGGGAAAGCTCTTCTTGTTCTGCCCTGGGCAGGAACATCTTTCACTATCCCAGGTTGCTCCAAGCCCTGTCCAACCAGGCCTTGGGCACTTCCAAGGATGGGGCAGCCACAGCTTCTCTGGGCAACCTGTGCCAGGACCTCACAGTTTAAAGAATTTTGCTCCACAGGAGACTCAGGCAGAGCCTTTGGTGAGAAGCACCTGCTGAAGTGACACACAGGGAATTTTTCCACAGTGGATCAGAGCCACTGACACATCCCAGCAATGGGGAGAAACCAGGAAATCTGAAGGAAGCGGAGGTTGCGAGAGGCCGGGACTCGAGAAGCCGCCCGCTGCTGTTCCAACAGCTTTTCCCCTTGAGGAACTCGGAAAGAATCAGCATTTTTCTCCCTAATAGAGCTTCAAAACTCAGTTGTGAGCAATTTGGAGGCTCACGTGGAGTTTCGGGTTCATTTAGCTGCTGCCTCCAGAGCTTGGAGAGAGTCAAAGCTGTCGAAGGCGGCCGCAGCGCCCCAGTGCCTTGAATTAATGTTATTGTTATTTGTGTGGACGTGCTGGGGTGCAAACAAGGTTAATTGAAATGAGAGCGCTGCTTCCTCTTGATAATGGCTCGGGCTTGACAGCGAGGAGGAGTTTATTTTTGTCGGAGAGCTGCCTTTATTATCCCTTTTTATTAGAGCTAATTTGGGCTCTATATCAAAAACTACATTAAGGGAATCGTTTACGGTCACACCACCAGCACTGCCAAAGATCGCCCCAGAGCCCTGTCCTTTATGTTAATGTCTGCAGTTAAAAGACAATTAAAAATAAACTCTCCTCTTTTAAAGCACCCTTTGTTTTCTTTCCTCTCGGCCTCCAGCGAGGCAATTTAGTTCAACCCTTAATGTGCCCTTCAGGGATAAGGGATTTTTCCGGATAGCCCCGGCCGTGGTTATTGGAGGATTGTAAATATTACTTGGGGATGCTTGAACTGGTGGGACCAGGATGCTGCTGGTGAATGGGGTGATCAATACCACGCCAAGCAGTGAGGAAATTCGGGATGTAGGAGCAGGAGGAGCCGGACCTTTGGGAAGTGCACATTCTAGGTGGCAGCTGCCTGGTCGGGGCGGGAAGCGGGAAGCTGCCGGCGGTTGCCGGTGAGTTAAGTATGCTGAAATATGGCAGCAGGCTGGTAATTTGTTTTTAATGATAACAGCTGGCAGAAGGTGAAGTTTGTGCTTTGAGGACGATGAGGAGAATCCTTGCTCCGTCGGTTTTCCCCATCGGCTGTCGCGCTGCAGAAACTCGGGAATGCGGGAGTGCGGGATCAGGGATCTGCTCCATGTATCCCTCTGCTCTCCTTCTCCAATGCTCAGGGCAGGAGCTGCTCTCCTCCTCATTTCACTCCCTGCTGGAGCGTCCCCGCCTGCCCCAGTGTGCAGGGACAGGCATCACAGCCCTGGGGAATTCCAGGATAATGCCTTGGAATGATGCAGCCTCCCCAAAATCCTTGTGGAGGGGCTTTTTCCCCCCTTTCTAGGACCACCTTTTGGAGCCTTTATCAAACCCCCTTCCAGCCAGCTCTGTATCCGTGGAAGAGCCAAATGGGAAGCACCCCAGGATGCTGTTTTGGCCTTTGTGATGGCCAAAATTTCCTCTGGGATGTTGGGATTCCCTCTGAGAATTCCTTGTGGGATGTTGCAGCCGGGCTGGGTGTGTTCCCTGCACCAATGTTCCCATCTTCATCACTGCATCATTCCTTGCAAAAGGTGTTCCCAGCATTTATGACATTTTCCCATCCCTTCCCTACACTGTCCAGAGGGAATTTTCTTCCTGGTGGCAGTTTCCATCTTTTCACCCTTTTCTCCAGCATCCTGAAGGATGCTGAGGGAAGCGCCTTCGCTCCCTGCGTATCCAAACACCGGGAACACGTAATACAAGGGAGCTGCCTTGCAGGAGACCAATGGAAGAGCCTAAAAACACTTCTGGGATCGGTGGCTGGCAAAAGATTTCTATTTATTTTATGCTTGTCACGCTTTTATTTCAGGTCTGGGGGTTGCAGTGATTCCGAGTCACGGGTTTAGGGAATTGCTGACGGATTTCTCCTCCTCTTGCAGATGCCGGTGTGTTCCTACTACCTGAAGGGGATCTGCAGCAACAGCAATTGCCCCTACAGCCACGTCTACGTGTCCAGGAAGGCAGAAGTGTGCCAGGATTTCCTCAAAGGATATTGTCCCATGGGAGAAAAGGTAAAGAGGGATTTATCCCAGCTGTTGTGGGCCAAAGCCAAAGCCATGAGCAGCGTCCTGCACCAGCTATGGCACCACAGGGAAGAGCTGGAAGCTGCTCAGCACCTGGATGTGATGAAGAACAGTCCTGTGCTTTTCCAAAGGGTTTTGGCGAAGTGGTTTGGTTGGGAGAAAAGGGAAAGAAATCAAAGGCTTCGGCTCATCATGCTGGTGTTTCCCTGGTAAGAGCCTCCATGGGGTGTTCCTGTTATCAGTGTCTGAGCTAGAAGCACCTCCCCTGAAAACCCCTCACTGAAACAGATGAAAAATGCAGGAAAATATTTAGGATTCCCTGTTTTACCTAGAAAATCCATAGGCATTAATGCTTGTTTTCCACTCTGGCTCCGTGACGGGTTTAAACTTGAGCCTAAATCCTGTGGCTTAGTTTTAGGAGCAAGACCAACCTTGTTCAGCATCCAGCTGTGCCTGGGGGATTCATGAAGCCACCTCCAGGTCCTGGGGATGGTTTGGATCTGTGCAGTGAAGTCCCTCATGGACTTCATGTGCACCCTGGGGAGAGTTGCAACCTCATCCATGAGCTTTTGGTACCTGATGTAACGTGGAAATTGTGGGAGCAGTTTTCCTGGAGCAGGGCTTGGAGCCAGCTGCTATTTGCTGTTCCAAAGGAATTTGGAACACACAGGATCTCACCTTTCTGTGTCGTGGCTAAGGGAGAGGGTTGGCTATGCCAGTGTTCCCTTGAGAATCCAAGTGACTGTCCTGACTCCTCTTTGCTGTTTTCCAAATGGGTATGGGTTATGGTATGGGATTTCTGCTCATATTTGGACAATTGTGACCAGCAGGAAAGGGAATTCTGCCCCTCTGCCCCACTCAGATAAGACCCCACCTGCAGATCTGCCTCCAGCTCAGGATCCAACAGAAGAAGGAAGATGTGGAGCTGCTGGAGTGAGTCCAAATGAGGCCATGGAGATGCTCCAGTGGCTGGAGCCCCTCTGCTCTGCAGCCAGGCTGGGAGAGTTGGAAATGTCCAGTCTGGAAAAGTGAAGGCTCTGATGAGACCTTAGAACCATTTCTAAGGGGCTAAAGGGGCTCCAGGAGAGCTGGAGAGGGTCTTAAGACAAGGGATGGAGTGCCAGGACACAGGGAATGGCTTCCCACTGCCAGAGGGCAGGGATAAATGAGATATTGGGAAGAAGTTCTTCCCTGTGAGGGTGGTGAGGCCCTGGCACAGGCAGTCCAGAGGAGTTGTGGGTGCCTCAGAGGGCTCTTCCTCTCCTTTTCTCCATCCTGGTAGCACTTGTTTGCAGAAGTACAACCCATCAGGAGAAGTCGTAGGTGCTCAGATCCCACCAGTGTGGCCACCAGCCTGTCCCAGAATCCAGACACAACGCTGGATGGAATCCTAGGATCATTGAGGCTGGAAAAGACCTCTAAGATCATTGAGCCCAGCTTTGAACCCAGTACTGTGAAGTTCCACTAAACCCCATCTGGTCTTTTCTCCATCCTTTCCCCAGGAGAAACCACCACAGAGCAAAAACCAGGGGAAAAAAGCCAAAAGTGAGAGTTCTAAGGAAAGCAGGACATCAGCAGCAGCAGAGGGAAGCTCTAATAAATTAGTCTGGGCCTAATTACTTTTTGTGGCAGCGCATGGAGGGGGACTTGATGCAGGATAAACATTCCCTCAGAAGGAAAACACAGGCATCCTGCCACCTCCCTCCAGCGCAGCGCCAGCCACGCAGGCAGGGTCCCGACAATTATTTTTAAAATATTCCAATTTAAATGAAAATATAAAAGAGATATTTAGAATATTTATTCTATTAGGAAAAGTGCTTACGGCGTCACTTTTGGAATGTCGGGAAAGCATTCTCCTCCAGATGATGGATAGCAGCCTGTAATTATATATGGGGAGAAATTGCTGAGCGGGCCATATTTAACTGGGGAGGAGAAATTCCAGCTTGGGCCATTAAGGGTTAATTTTATTCTCTAAATAATATAAAAAGTGCTGAGTCCGTGCCTTTGCTCCAAGTAGAAAGTCCTCAAATGGACCCCGGAGAGTTTATAATATTCTACTGAATCAAGGAAAAATGTTAACCTTGCTTCATAAAACGATGGCTTGTTAAAGATGCGCAGTCCCTTTTCTTGTGAATTATTTAGGATGGGAGTAAATCTTCCCTCGTTCTGCCTTTCCCTGTCCGAGCAATGTTGGTTTGAAGCACAAAGAGCACGGAATGTGAAGGTGTGCGACTCTGGTGGAGCATCCTGGGTGGATAAACTCTGATGAGGCTGGTCCATAATTAGGAATTGAGGTTGTTTTGTGATGATTTTTGGCACGCTGGGCTCTTCTTCCAGTTGCATTTTCCTATTTGTGCCCTCCCAGACAAATACAATTCCTGATTTTTAGTAGACCTCCATCAAAAATGTCCATTATTATCCATAATTTATGACGTGTCGTTGGCAGTGTTGTCTCTTAAGGACTTCCTAGGATGTGTTGCAGGATTCTCAGGGTAAGTTGATCCACCTTTGACCCATTCCATGGACTGTAATTCCAGCTGCTCTTCGTACAGATGACGCCAGGACTGACCTCCTCTGGCTTCACCAGGAATTTAGAATTAAGTGAGAAAGCTTTAATTTTGCATTCCCAAGTCCTTTTTTCGGGAATGTGGATTGTAGAGGGTCTAAATCCACCCTTGAGGAAGGGGACAGCTCCTGTACAAGGCCATGATCACATCCTTCTTCAAGGGAATGTTACCCCCAATATTAATTAATTAGTCTAAAGTTGGACCTGATGATTTTGGAGAGCATTTCCAACCTAAATGATTCCAGGATTCTGTTTCCAGGAGGGAGCTGATGGCAGAGCTAGGACCTTGGTTTTCAGCATTCCTACAGGTTCCTTGGTCATGGGTTGGGAAGTTCATCCACCATTTGTGCTTCCTAAAGGGATCATCCCTAAACACAACATCATACGAGTCCCTTAAAGCCATGGAGTGACTCCCACCTCAGAGATCTCTGTCCCAGTTTTCCTGGAGCTCCCTGCCCTTCCCTGGCACCCTGACCTGGTCATGCTGGGATGTCCCTCTGGGCTTGGCCACCTGCACTGGAGGAAGCCTCAAGAGGGAAGTGGGGAGAGAGGGAGAAATAGGGCCTCTTGCAGGTTCTTCCCAGGGCTTTTTGGAGATGTTTTCATGAGCTGCTCTACAGTCAGAGCTCCTCTGTGCTTCTACATCCCTCCTCCCATATGGGGCCTTGTGCAGGGACTTGGAGGAGGAATTCTCTAGGAGAGATGAGATTGGTGGGTGTGAGGGATGAGCCAGCAGCAGTGGGTGAAGTGTCTGTGGTGATGTGACCCCAGAGCAAGGGACAAGCAAGAGGAGACATTGGATGGAGACACTGTGGATGGCCCATCCCTGGGAGTGTTCAAGGCCAGGTTGAATGGGGCTTGGAGCAACCAGGGATAGTGGAAAGTGTCCTTGCCTGTGCCAGGGGGTTGGAGCAGCATGGGCTTTAAGGACCTTTCCAACCCAAACCAGATGTGATGGCAAACCATGAGCTGGGATTTCTCTGAGGCCAAGAGCCTGGAGCTGGGAGCTCATCCATAGATGGTCCCAAAGAGCACCTGCCTTGGGATTTGCTTTCCAGGCACAAAAGATGAAGAAGGAAAGATTTAGATGGGATATTGGGAAGAATTCCTTCCTCTGAGGGTGGTGAGGCCCTGGCAGAGGCTGTCCAGTGAAGCTATGGCTGCCCCATCCCTGGAAGTGTCCAAGGCCAGGTTGAGCAGGGCTTGGAGCAACCTGGAATACTGGAAGGTGTCCCTGCCCACAGCAGGGGTTTGAAATGAAATCATTAAGGTCCCTTCCAACTCAAACCACTCAATGATTCCATTGCTGCATCTGGAAGATTGTTTTGTATTAAATAATCTTCCCCCCTCTGTGCCCATTAGCGCCAGAGCCGCATTAAATCCCTCTCTCCGGATTGTTTCCATCGCCTGCCTTGGAGCCTGTGGGTAAATTGTTCCCTCATGGGAGCTGTTAAACAGTGAGACACAGTGAGATTAAACAACGAAGCTTCCCTGGAAAGGCACGGGGAGATGTGCTGGAATAAATCATGGGTAAGAGGAGAATCTGTTCCCATCCCTCTGGAGTCCCAACTGGCACAACCAGCCCTTGTGATGGTTAGGCTTGACATGGGGACCTGCCATGGCAGGAGGGTTGAGCTGTGCTGGGATTGCTCATCCCAGCTCATCTTATTCCTAAAATCCATCTTTTTATTGGACCAACAGCTTTCACCAAAGCTCTAATTTCTGCCTTATCTGTGTAAAAAATATGGGACAGGGGCAGCACTGCCTGAGGAAGTGCTGCTTCCTTGGGAAGAATAATTTTCCTCCCCCAGGTGGAGCTTGGTGTTTTTTTGCAGTGGCAGCTGCTGCATTTTGCTGTAGAAAATCAAAATGTGGGGATTTTTTCTCGGCTGAAACCTCGTTCTTGTATGGTTTTTTATGTTTGGTTGGTTATTTTTTCTTTTTCTGGTGGAAGTTCAGCAATTTCCCACCAGAAATGTAATGTTTTTGTGTGTCTGATACATTCAATTTAATACATTTCTTTAGAAAAAGCCATATGAGCTGTGTTACAACAGTAAATATCAAATGTGTATGGTGTTTTCTCTTAATTATCCAGTGATGGAGAGCAGCAGCCTGGGATCCTTGTTTTCCTTCATCTTTTATCATGGAAAGGTGAAGTTCAACACTGTTCATGCTTTCTGATCTCAGCTGACTTTTCTGGTTGAACCAGCATTTTTCTTTCCTCACAGCCATCAGATCTTGGTGTTTCTGGGGTTTTTTTGCTCCTTCTTTGATCCCAGGTTGACTCCCAACCAACTTGGCTTTTCCTTGAAGAACTCTCTAACAAAAGGTTGTCCAACCCTGGCACAGGCTGACCTGGCAAGTTGTGGAATAGTCATTCCTGGAGGGATTTAACAGCCCTGTGGAAGTGGCACATGTGGAC